AACATTTAGCAGCTTGTTTCCAGTTAATAATCGTTTAATATTGATTAAAAAAAGAAATCACTGGCAGGTTATCTTGCTTCAAGTGTAATAATCTAGAACTTTTTTAATCTGCATAAGGAATTATTGACTTCAGATTAAGATTTGTTGTTTTAGCAGCGGAGTTTGAATCAGAGAAACAAACTGAAGATTGAGAGTCTAACCCAAACCCCAATCCTAACCCCAATCCTAACCCCAATCCTAACCCCAATCCTAACCCCAATCCTAACCCAACGCTGCTGCTGTCCCTCATCATTAAAAGTGCGTGCGTGTGTGTGTGTGTGTGTGTGTGTGTGCGTGTGTGTGTGTGTGTGTGCGTGCATGTGCATGCGTGTGTGTGTGTGTGTGCGTGCGTGTGAGTGACAGACTAAAAGTTCCTGGTTCTGAGCGGGTTCTGTTTCTGTGAAGGTTCTGATCCAGGTTTCAGGTGGATGAGATCAGACGGAGTCGGGTCGATGTCATGATGACGTGTTTCTGTTTTATTGTGGCCTGCAAGCAGAATGTGGTTGAGCCATGATGCTGAAGTCTCTCATTATTTCCCCTCTTTGGGAAAACAAAGAAAATACAAATCTCCTGTTTCGCCTCAGTTTCTCTCATTTTGTCTCCGTTCTCCTGTCCTTCAGTTTATCTCTCGTCTTTCCGTCTCTTGTGTCCCGTGTGATGTGGCGGATCAGAACGAGTGAGTCAGACTCTCTGGGTCGCTCAGCCAAACACTCGGCTACTGTATGACGCCCACGCTCTGGTGTTTAAGTTGGCGTGCTGCACAGCGCTCCACCCTGATGTAACAGTATCAGATATTTAACCCGGCTGCTGGAAAAGCTTTTCTTCTTTTGTGGAGAGCAGCAGCTGTACGCCGCTGCAGGGAACGAAAGGAAAGTTAATCCACAGATAAAGTTTTTCTACAAACAGTTAGTCAGCAGGCGAACATGGAGCAAACTGACCAAAAACACTTTTCCACACATTCACCGTTTACATGAACGGCAGCCATGGACTCCAATCCAGGAGGTTTTCATAATAACATCTGAAATAGAAGACATTTTTATTTCTCTCAATTCTCTGAAAACAAACAAGTTTATTTTGAATATAACATTGTTTTATGTCTTGTCCCAAATACATTTGAAATAAATGTGATTTCTGTGGAAAATCAATGTCTGCACCAAAAAGCCACTTCATCATAAGAATAGGAATGCCAAACTTTGCAGTGACATCTCTCCGTAATCTAGACGAGAATCACTGGATTCATATTTCTGAAATCTCTTAATCAATTTTTCTCCTGATGGTCTGGTCGACCCGGTTCTACTGGAACCAGAACATCTGGAACAGAACCTCCAGCTGCTGTGGTCCTGAGTCAAACCAGCCTGTTCCCCTCCTGGCCTGTGGGGGCGCTGCACCAACAACCACTGCAGGAAACGACACTAAAACCTCTGAAGACACTGAGAGCAACTTCCTGTTTCACCAGATGAAACAAGATGGAGGCGTCAGAGTTTAGTGATTTCTCTTTAGTCTTTGGCTGAAGACCAGGAGCCATTTCTGCTGCTAATGCTAGGCTAGCATGTTAGCTTTGGTTACCCAGAATGCCCTGCGCTGTAGTCCACTTCCTGCTTTTGGAGCGCTCTCTGATCTGCTTGGCGTTCACATTCAAACTGAACCAGACCGAGGTTTGGAGGACCAAAGGTCAAAGGTCGATTACCATCCACAACTCACCAACCCAACCGGACTTTGACTAGACAGACGGTCCGGAGTCGGGTTAAGGTGGACTGGATGATGCTGCTTTCACACTGCAGCCTGAAGTGAACCAATTCACACTTCCAAATAAATGTGACCTGTGCCTGTTCTGCAGGTGAAGGAGCAAATGACCTGAAAGTGTCCCGATTGCCCAGTAGAGGGCAGAATAATGTCAGCGTTCTCAGTGTTCTGCCAACAGCCATAAAAAGGTAGGGTTAGGGTTGGGGTTGCTCGTATCAGGGTGCAGAATAGTGTTGAGTATCAGTGACGTTCAGTTTGGATGAATGCAACCTGGACGTTAAGTCGCATTTGAATCGGATACGTATCGGATATGTCAAAAAAATCTGAATTGGGTCACTTCAGGCTGCAGTGTGAACACAGACTAAATGTAAGGAAGTCTTGGGATGACGAATCAAGGATTTATTGCAACCAGACACTGCAAAGCCCCAAAATGAGCTTCTGTTTGTTGACCGCCTCCTGATTGGCCAGCAGCTGTCAGCATGTGATCAGAATCACAAGAACTTTAACTGATGACCTTTCACAAAGATTTCATTGTGATCAACGCGTTTGTTCAACGTATTTCATCCAACTTCTATGAACTTCTTGCAAAGTTTGTTGGCTTTGGTCACAACTTGAGCTGCTCACTCAGATGAACATGAAACTGTGAAAAAACTTCTGCCAATGTTCTTTTTATTTATGAAAACAAATAATTCAGCTCCTTTATCTTTCTTAAAATTTACTTTTGAGTTACTTAGAAGTTACTTTAGTCTTATTTTAATATGCACTAGAATACTTGATAAGATTTTGTGTTTTTGCAGTGCAGCTGAATGAAGTGAATGGAAATGAACAGACTGAAAGTTGTGCTCAGTTCTTGGTAGCAAACCTTCATCCTCTGCCTCACCTTTCATTAAAAAATCCTAATCTGAGTTTATCTGGAACCCGACTCATGTCACATCCCACAGCCACTCACTTTGACCTACACACCTGTAAACACACCTGACGCACTCTTAAAGGTGCAGTAACTTTAGTTAACAAACTCCAAACCTTTTCTTTTGCTCCAATTGACTTAATGTGAAGAAAACACCTGGATGAAATGAAATACTGTCTCAACCACACAGGTTTTCGCCAGCGACCTGATTATCTGGTTCAGGTGTTGGCTGGACTGTGGACGCTGATGCAGATATGCAGCAGCGGCTCCAGGCTCCTCTGAACAACCGATAGCAGATAAAGATTCATTTACAGAAGTCATTCCTCACACTTTGAACCAGGAGGAAGTTTGCACATCTCTACTACCTGGGAGTGGAAAGGAGCGATAAGGACGTGGGATGAGTTCAGAGGGGGAGAAGTCAAAATATTCTGCTTCACGTAGTTTAATATGCGTGTGCTGCATGTAAGCGTCTGCTAATGCAGTCAGGACAACTTTCTACATTTTACTCCATCAGGGGAATTGGATGCCAGTGTCATCCAAATCTAAGCCATTGGCAAGTTATAAAATTCATTCAATTTAAAATGTTAACTTTATTGTGATTTTTTGCTTACGTGGCCATAAACCAATTCTTAAGTTAAGAGGAGCTTTGGACTGTTTCCTTAATAGAAACAGATCATTTTCCATTTTTTTCAGTCATCAATTTCTTTCTATTTTGTTGGATAAATTTTTACCATTTTTGACTAGTTTACCCTAACCTGAAAACAGCCACCAATGAACGAGTCCATAAAGTTGTGCAACTAAACGCCATAACAATTATTAATATTAAGATCAGTGTCAGCGGGCAAACACAGGGCCGTAACACAGACCCTGGAGGCTGGGGCCGGGGCCCCGGGGCCACATCCTATTTATAGTTTTCCAGACAATAGAAACACAAATGACTAAAGTTTATTAGTACTGTAGTAACGATTCTCATCCTGATCAGTGGAGACACATTGTTGATGTTACTTCACAAAATAACCTGCAATTCAGTTTTGATCAATGTGATTTTCACAGCGTTGTTGCTGTTTGCAGTAACTGAAAAAGTTACTTTTAATGTAACTTAGTTACTTTCCAAACCAAGTAATCAGTAATGTGATTAGTTACTTTTTCAAAGTCACTGCCATCACTGATTAGAGCTAATGTGTTAGCTATAAATAGCTAATAATTTTTTTAAGTTATTCAACTGAATCACACATTGCTTTGCAGTATGCCATTTTGATAAATGTACAGTATTTTGTAATTTTTCCCCATTACTGTACAGTATTAAACGTTTATATTAATATTTTGACTCAAAATGCATTGATGTTCACCTGAACTTCTTCAATGTGGAACAAAAGGATATTTATTTACACCCATGATATTTGGCAAACGATACGATTCAATGCACTTCTACGATTTTCTGAAAGGTTTTAAAAGGACAGAGTGATTTTAGTGACATTTTGTGTTCCAGACTTGGATTTAATCAACTGAAAACTGATTAAAAGCACCAACTACACAATACCCGACTGATTGGACAGAGTCTAACTGTCTACAACTGGACAAAATGAATCAAAGATTCAGTGAGAAAATGAGTTGTTCTCATTTAATTCATATGGATTTGATATAAAAGTCAAAGTTTCCACAGTGTTCAGGAGGCGAGTGGGGAGATTCTCAGCCTCCAGACTGTCCATATGCAAGTGATGGACTTATGTTCTTCTTTTGGACATACTGCGTTTGGAGTAGAAAAGATCTTCTGGACTCCAGGGAAAAGGCTTTTCTCCCTTGATCCTGGAGTTAGCCGTGACTGTAGGCTGTTTACTACCTGCTGGGGGAGCGGCTCCGCATCACCCCGAACTGATCCACTCCTTGCTCCGTTCCGCTTCTTTCACGGACTTAGCAGCAAAATACAGCTCGTTATTTGAGATTTCCAAAAACAAAAGAATTTGATGCTGGAAGCTCATTCCCTGTCACATGACCGGAAATCTGGTTTTAACATTTGACATGTGGAAAAACACGGTTTACTTATTTTATCAGAACTGGTTTTATTTGGCCCATTAATTTAGAAACTGGTGTGTAGTTTATAATGTGCACTTTAAGGAGGCGGAGCCTTGCTTCCCGACGCTTCAGCGTATCGATACTGACGTATCGATACGCTGACGTATCGATACTCAATTCCGTCTGAGGGTGAAAAGATAAATATTGTAGAATCAATATAATTTTACAGCCCTCATATAAAGTTAGTTCTGGGTTGGTTATAAAGACACTTTATACATCCAACAAGTCAAAAACAAAGTTTTCAAATCTGACATTTCATTTTATTTTCATTTTGAAGAAGGTGCTTTGTCTCCAAATATTCAAAACAAACTACCAAAATAATTTATTTTCAATAAAAAAACTTTTACAAATATGTACAATAAAAGGAACGACCCAACTGCAGCAGGTGAGGTAGGTGTGTGAACATTTGATGTAGAGGAAGGAACAAAACCCAACTAAACTCCTGCTTGTGGTTAACACCCGGCCGGCGCTGCAGCTAACATCATCGCTTTTAACCAAACACTTCCTGACACACAACTAGTTTTAAATTAACTGGATCTTCAGGACCAACCAACTAACCTGCTGAAGCCCAATAAAACCTGAGGAAGACCTCTGCATAAAAACGTCTTTCTCGTCATAAAGGCGAACGCGCCGCCCGGTTCCAAACCGGGTCCGAACCGGTTCAGAACCGGTTCGGGTCGGCGCTTTAACACCAATGTTGAGTTTGATTCTGCAGCCACTGGGTTCCTCCTGGAACCGGCCCGACCGGAGGACCCAAGTCACCCTGAAACATTGGAGTTTCACCGGGTAGGCCGAGCTCCGGTTTGGGGAAAAGACGGCAGCGCGTGCGTCTCCGTCTGCGGCGCCGCACTATCTGCGCAGCTGCTCTAGCCGGGCCTTCAGCTCCTCCTGCTTGGCGCGCAGCCGGTCCCTGCGCGCTCGCAGCCGCAGGCTCTCCACCTCCAGGCCGTAGATGCAGTCCCGCGCCTTCTTCAGGATCACCACCTTAGACGCCTTGTCGTTGTGCGACAGCTCCGGCACCTTGTCCCGCAGGCGCAGGAAGCAGTTCTTTAGCTCGTTGCGCCGCTGCCGCTCCATCACGTTGTGAGTCCGCCGCCGCTCCTCCTCGTCCTCCGACGAGCTTCTGGAAGAAGAGGAGGAAGACGGCCAGGTGGAGCTGCGGGTGGCGTGATGCGCCCGCGACGAGCCGTCGGCGCCTCGCCAGCGCTTGTGGGCGGACGGCGGCGGCGAGGCGGGGCACGGCGCGGCGTAGTTGTGCTGCAGCTGGATGGCGCGCTGCTCCTCCTCCGGGTCGAGGCGGCGGGCGGCCGGCTCGACCGGCGACGGGCTGGACGAGCCCACGGACTCCAGCGACTCCACGTCGATTTCTTCTTCTGTGGGGAAACGGAGCGGAGGATAAACGTTAGCACCAAACGCCGCTGGCTAACATTTCAGAAAAGTTTCAGAAGAACAAAAATAAATGTACAAAAACTGGTGAAAGTGGAGATTAAAAATGGAGATTTATTTACTTGCTTTAATTCCAAACAGACAACTTGTTGAACTTTATTGCAGCTGCAATAAAGTTTATTATTGACTGATTATTTTGACACATTTAAGCCTTTATGAGATTCACATGAAGATGCAAATAAATAAGTTCCTTTTTGAAACAAGAAAAACATTTTATTTGCTAAAATGCAATAAGGTAGTAGAGTTGCTTTATGTCAAGCTAAAACTGCCTCCAAGTTTTGGATAAATCAGAATTAGACAAGTTGGTTTTTTATATTAAATGTACTTTGACTTTTGTAGTTTTGGTTTAATTAGTTTTCTGAAAACATTTTTCTCAGCATTCGGTCTTTATCACGTCTGTTCACTCCAGTTAATTCAGCAATGACTAAAATAGTTTCATGAATTGACCTTCATGTTTCATTCCCAACAGGAAGTCATGGATGTTTTGAAGCGATCCGATTGGCTGACTGTTGCACTGCCCCCTATGGGTCAGGTGTGTTATAACTAAGTGGAAACCGCAGTTTCCACCCACTGTGGCTGAGATATTCATCCAGACCTTATTCTGATATGCAAAGAAGTTTTCAAGTCAAGTTGAGAACCACTGAATAAAAATGATTTCAAGCTGCCTGCTTTCAGCCGACAGTCATTTCTGCACAAACAAAATCTTCAGTATTTTAGTTTAGTTTCTTGTCCAAATATATCTTGTTTTTTTTTTCTCATTTAAAGTGGAATGACAAGTAACTCGGTGTTCTAGGTAAATAATCCTTCAAGTTCTAGATCTAATCTTTACATTGATAACTTGGGTAAATTTCTCCTGAGTGAAAAATATTTGAATCATTATTCAAGAATAAATGGCATAAAAGCAGTTGCTGTGTCTTGCAGAAAAGCGACTTTAAGGTTAGTTTGTTTCAGGCGAAGCTTTAGAAACTACCCAGAACTCCTTGCTTGCATTTTGGGTTTTTGCAGTGCAACGTGTGCAGCTCGCAGCCAGGACAGACGGGAAGTCGGCCGGACTCACCGGAGTCGCTCGAGGACGCGGCGGTCTCTCCGCCGGCCGAGCCGTAGTCCGACGTGACCTCTGAGGCCACCTGCTCCGGCGCGGCGGCCATCAGGTCGTGGCAGTCCAGCGTGGAGCCCACCAGGTCCTCGAAGATGCTGGTGTCGATGGCGGACAGCAGCGGGCTGGAGCCCAGCACCGACAGCTTCTCGTCCAGCTTCTCCGAAATGCAGAGCCACAGGGCGTCGTCGGCCGCCTCGTCCTGGGGCGTCCGGGGTCGGCGGAGCCAAACAGGTCGCAGGTCCAGTTGAGCAGCTGGAGGTCCTGGTCCTCAAGCAGGATGTTGGACATGAGGCCCAGCTGGTCCTCCTTGTACGGCGGATTGGCCTGGCCCGGCTTCAGGGGGGGGGAGCGCGGCGGCGTGGGGGGGTAGTCCATCTCCATCAGGCTCTGCACGTCCTCAAACATGAACGGCTCCGAGCTCAGCCAGTCCGGAGACAAACCGCTCAACATGTCGGGTCCGAAGCCTGAGAACAAAATCCAGAAAACAGAGCCGGCCTAGTTAAAGTTCAGCCTCCGTCTGCTACTGAAACCCCCCTGGACCGTCTGCGCTTCTTATACCTGTTTACATCACGCTGGCCACGCCCCTTTACTACGTTCCGTGACGTTTACACACCATGACGTCACAGAACAGTTGGGCCAAAAACTTTGAGGGTTTTTCCCGAACTTTAAAACAAAAACAAGAGACGAGGAACCGAGCCGGTACCGGTTCTACTGGTTCTACTGGTTCTACTGGTGCTGAGCGTGGACTGGGCATCCCGCTGGGTCGGAACCAGAGGGGAACAAAGCTGCTTCAGCAAAGCAGCTGCAGCAGCGTGGGCTGCAGCAGCGTGGGCTGGTAAACTGCAGCAAACTAAGAAACTTCATTTTCTGTCCAACAGGAACTGAAAAACTTTTTCACTCAAATTTAGTTTTTACTAAAGAGCAAAAACAGAAAAACTATTTTCTGCAACTTTTCTTATCAACAACAATAAGAACAATAAGACTAAAAACATTAAAAACAATAATAACAATACTAATAACTGTTGCTCTGGGCCTCCAGTCTTCTAAATATTTGCTCCCTTTAAAGGCTCTGAATGAAGCAGCGGGTATTTAAACGCGCCGCTGCGGAGCCACGCGTGACACCGGCTTCTGCCACGCCGCCCACGCTGCCACGCCGCCCACGCGTCTCGTGCACGGCACGCAGCGAGCTTCTAAAGTCCAGAAACTATTGGACACGTGCAGAATCTTACCGGCCTCAGTGGAAAGCAGGAATTCTCAATGAAGAAAATGGAAATGATCCAATCCACGCGGAGTGATCGTGCTCTTAAAGGTTTCTGCTTCAATGAAACTTTCTGCGCGTGAAATGAAAGTTGGAACACGGCAGCATTGTGTGGAAATCCGCGAGCGTCCGGTCCAGCGTGTCCCACAGAGGGTCCACGTCTCCCCCTCGCTGCAGCAGCGCAACACTGTGGGTGTGGCTGGAAAACCGCTATGTACCGCCGCGACCGTATCCTTCCGCCACGAATGAAAAACCCGCGAAAACTTACAAAATAACAAAAAAGCTGCTCGTGCTGAGCGAAAGTGCCGCCGAAATAACCGCAGCGCCCCCCTTTGAGGATGAAGTCCAGGCGCAGAAGCCGATATTTAGCGCCAAGTGCGCTAAAACGGCCGTGAAGCGGAACTACCGCGGAGGGATACTTGGGTCACTCGGTTTCTGGGAAAGTCGTGGCGGCAAAAAGTGAACAGTGGGGCGAAGCTGTGAAAAAGCGGCGAACGAACTCACGGTCCATCCTGCGCGCGACCATCGGACCTGCACGGCGGAGCCGCCGCCATGTTGAGAGGGGCAAATTCTCCTAGGAAAACAGAACAAACTTTATTCTAAACTGGCTTTTTGTTATAAAGAGCCCAAAAAGTTGACATTTAATAACACGTGATATATTTTACAGTGATTTTAAAACTAATAATGACAATCACAAAGATGAAGAAGAAAAATATTGGCAAATTAAGCCATTCCACTTATTTCTACAGAGGCCTCTGAGGGACATACAGAGAAACTTTTTCTTTGTGTTTTCTCGCAATTAGCTAACTGCAATATTTGCTGGTTTAAATGTATACAGTCACAAATGCTAATTTAGAATTTCAAATGTATACATATTTATAGAAGAAGATGGAGGCTCCTTGAAAACAACATTGAGACGAGAATATGGCGCTGAACATTATGCAATTTGGAGAATCATTAATGCAACCATTGTTCTTAACTCTTTGGTGCACAAAGCTGATTGAAAATCACTGCATGGTTATGTCTGTTAAGTTGAGGTGGAACTGAACATGAAAACCATTCAGACTAGAAAATCAAAACTGTCAGATAATTCATTACAATAACCCAGAAATAGTCCAAGTGTGGACATATTTTTATTTCTTTCCTACTTACAGAAAGTTTCTGTTTACATCATAGGTTTGTGGTGCCTTTCTATCCTTAAGAAAAAGATATCAAACTTCAGATATTTCTCAACAGGAAAACAACATATATAAAAAAACCCTCACAAAAGTCTTACATTGAAGAGAGAGAGCAATGCTTACAGCAGTGGTTCCCAAACTGTGGGGCGCAGCCCCTAAGGGGCCACAGTGCCTTTGCAGGGATGAATAAAAAAAAAAAAGTTACACAGTTAAACTGTTTCACTGTAAAGATGGTTTGTAGTTTTGTTTTGTTGCAACATGAAGTGTGAAATAAACTTTATTGGAGTTTGAAAACAAAATATGTGTAAAGTTTTATGTCTGGTTGAACAATGAGCCCAGTTGATTTTTTGTTCATTTTGGGGGGATTTTATTGTAATCCATTAGGGGGGCAGAAAATCTTTGGGACCACTGGCTTACAGCGCATGAACTGATCAGGACATTATTGTGAGAGAACAACGCTAAAGTCTCCATGTCCCCAAGAGGGATCCATACATTTCAGCAAATATGCCAAGAGACCAGGTTTAATTCAGTCTGTCGCCAAATAAAAAGAAAAACAAAACATTTAAGAGTTGATGTTAAACCCCTTTGTCTGGTTTTTCAGATTCCATGTTTTAACACTGAATAAATTAACCAATCTTTTGTTAGAACTTCTCCATTGTAAGAAGAAGGCTGTGGGTTTGAATCCCAGGACTGTGACTGCTAACTGCTCTCTGACTTGTCCTAATAGGTATTGTGTGTGTGCGTGTGTATGTGTGTGTGTGCATGTGTGCGTGTGTGTGTGTGTGTGTGTGTGTGTGTGTGTGTGTGTGTGTGCGCATGTGTGTGTGTGCGTGTGTGCTTGCGTGTGTGTGTGTGCGCATGTGTGTGTGTGCGTGTGTGTGCGTGTGTGCTTGCGTGTGTGTGTGTGTGTGCGTGCGTGTGTGTGTGTGTGTGGTGTGTGTGTGTGGTGTGTGTGTGTGTGTGTGTGTGTGTGTGTGTGTCTGTGTTGCCCAGTGATGGACTGGATGTCCAGAACGTCCCCATCTCCTGTCCAATGACCGCTGGAGACAGCAACCCTTCAGCTGCAGGTGATTGATCAAAATTTATTATTTGCCAAATATTAATTTATTTGTAATTATATTATATTAAATATTAAATATTGCTCTTTAAGTAATGCATTTTGTATGGGTGTTTATTAAATCTTTGGTTTGAAACGAGAGACTATCAAAGCTTGACTTTATCTTTTTAAACTTGTATTTTTAATCTACTTTCTAGTCCAAACATCTTGGTGAGGTTAATCATTTCTTAATTTTGATTAAAAAAGGTTCTAGATCTACTGGCAGATTATTTCACATGTGACATGTGAAAATGTTTTATTCTAACTGAAAAATCGCTCAGTTGAAAGTAAATCCTGTATTATGGAATTATTTATGTAAAAAAAGCTCCCTTCTTGCTCAAAAGTTATTAGTTTTGTCTTCTCTTAGGTGTAGTAAGATATTTCCACTGGAAACTAGACAAAAATGCTTTCCAAGATTTTGTGTTTTTGCAGTGCTGGATGTGTCTTCATAAATAATGCCACTCCCAATATGGCAACCATAGCTATGAACGACATACATCCAAGGGCGTAAATCCCATTATTGGCCAGAAACAGGAACATTCATTAAGAGCAACTTTGGGAGGTCGGCGAAGTTGCAGTGAAACGTAACGTAAAATGTGTTTAAAAGTTTTTAAATCACATTCAAGCTGCAGGAGCAGAAATGACTGATGAACATCAAACATGTTTTTCTGCAGAGAAATAAAACCGGTGATCGAATCTCTGCTACACATTTACAAACAAAGCGCCACCTACAGGTAGAGCACGGAACTGCTGCTGAACTGTGAGCTCAACCTGCAGGCAGACTCAATGACTCCCATCATAAATCTGTGGATATTTGGCTGCTTAATTCTGGGTTTCAAAATCATTTCACTGAATTTCTCCCACAGCTGAAAAGCTTCTTGTTCCAGCCGAGTGAAAAGTCGACTTATTTAAAACTACAACATGACATTAAGCAAAGTCCAAATCAAGAAACAGACACAAAAATCTTCTTTGTGTCCATATTAATTTGCAATTAGCAAATTAAAATGGACACGTTTGTTTAACATGTAAAAAATGAAATGTTCTATTAAACAAGGATAGAAATAGACATAAAAACAAGAAATGCTGCAGAGTGCAGATTATACTAAACTACACGCTTTAGATTATTCTTGATCAGTATTTTTGCAAATTGTGTAGTATTCACTATTTAGACCAATATTATACTTTTTAAAATACTATTCAAAGAAACACTTATTGTTGCAACCCAGAATTAGAACCAACTTAAAATAAAAATAAAAACTACTCTCACAACAGAAACATGTAACTTTTATTTTCAGCAGAATCTAGTTGATATACTTTAGATCAACATTAGATTCTTTTTTCTTCTTTCACTCTTTTCTTTGGTCTGTTATTTTGTAGGAATTTCATTTTAATTCATATAAAGCTCTTTGAATTGCCTTCCTACTGACAATGTGCTATATGGATAAAATGACTTGAATTTATGCAGAAAATAAAACATAAACAACTGTAGAGTAAACTTTGTTGTTAATTAGATTAACGTGTGCTTGTTAACCGGAACCCTCTGACTCACAGCTGAATAAAATGTTCATGTTTATGAAATGACAATCTATTGCATGACCCATCGAGTTTGATGAAAACACAAAAACTTTCACTAACACAGATCCTAACCGGGAGGATCTGTG